ACTGCTCAAAAAAACAAAGGGAACACTCAAGTAACACATCCTAGATCTGAATGAATGAAATATGCTCATTGAATACTTTGTTCTGTACAAAGTTGAATGTGCTGACAACAAAATCACACAAAAATTATCAATGGAAATCAAATTTATTAACTAATGGAGGCCTGGATTTGGAGCCACACACAAAATTAAAGTGAAATGTTTATTTTTTTTGAGCAGTATACATAATATCCTTTGTTTTTGTGTTTCTGAATACATTTATTAGCTTTTTGAACTGATGTGAAATTCATTTTTCCCCCCACACACAGTTTATGTCAGCTGTTAGTAAATTACAACACTCTGCTCCTCCTGGCATTGTTTATGCTAGTCAGCAAAAAAATGTCAGCAAAAGTTGAGTGAAAATGCCAGAGTCAGTTATTGTTCAATAATAATTAAGTACATTTTTTGAAAATATAAGCTTATGCCAAGTGTTTATGTATACATAATCACAAATAAAATACTTCGACCTTTTACACCTATAAATTAACAAAAGTAGGAAAAAACTAACACTACTGCTATAACTAATCAAAACTAAACTGAAACTAAACAAGACTTAACTATGAAAAACCAGCAATAAAAACAAACTGAATTAGTCAAACAAAAAGTCACATAAAAAAAATAACAACTAAACTGTAGTGGAAAAACCCAAAACTATTCTAACCCTGCTAACAACTATACCTTTCAGTGTAAAAGCCACTGAGTGAAGACATGAGGTTGTGATTGGTTTGCAGCCTCGCTTTGACTCAGCAGACAGCAGCAGCTGCTGATTGGAGCATTTCGCAGTGTCCTCCTGACAGCACTGATGAGAAATCACTGTTGTTCACTCGGGCGTCTGCTGTATCGCTGGCCTGGCCCTTATCACTGCGTCAATGAGACCAGAGATCTGGGAGGGAGCAGCGACATCTAGGCAGAAGTTTGCTGAGCTGAAATGAAGAAAACAAACCTCGATGAAAGGTTGCCGAGGCAACGCCAGTGTGATAAATAAGCCGGAGACAGCTCATATCATTAGAAACAGTGTAAACATCCCATCAAGAGGAGAAGTTTTGGGTTTTTATCAGTCTTCCCGGTCCAAGAAGTGATCTCTCCAAAGTGGCAGGCAGAATGTGAGCAAGAAGGAAAATCTGATTCAGTACTGCCTTGTTCAGGAAAGAAATCTGGGATTCATTTCATAAAAATTCACCAGAAGAATGACTGAACTAACTCTGAGATTTTATTTCGTTTTAAGTTCTCTTTTTGACGTGGTCGCCTTGATCAAGTTGTCCACATTTAAAACTCGAAACATGTTGACACAGCAGGAGAGCACTGGCTCTGCTTTCAACACGTCAAAGCAACATCTGGTTCTCATCACGCCTCTCTGATCATATTCTAAGTCCCAACAAATACCTTCTACCACCTTGACCTCACAAGGCTTCCTACCCAAAGCGTAGAACGTTGTTCTTCTGTCCGACTGGGAGCCATGTTTCTACACTCTGTAAGGAATCAAGGTTGGAAAGGCCAAAGGAAGTCATGAATCATTTCATCCTGACTTCACTCAGGAAGAATAGAAATATTTAAAACTCATTGTTGATAAATCAGTAAAACATCTTTTGGTGTTTTATGGAGCCTAGCTACATCCAGTCAGATGCAGAAAAATAATATTTTAGTGAACAGCACAATGAATACAGTCAGACATACAGTGGAATCAAAGTGCAGGACATAGAATAGAAACAGCCTTTGCTATCAGACAGTGAGGAAAGTCAGGTGTTATAGTTGCATCAAGATATAATAATCAAAAGTGTTAGAAATATATACAGCTCTGGAAAAAATTAAGAGATCACTTGAAGTTAGCAGTTTCTTTGATTTGACTTTTTATAGGTATACGCTTGACTAAAATGAACATTATTCTTTTATTCTATGAACTACTGACAGCATGCCTCCAAAATTTAAGCAAAAGCTTTTTTATTTATTTGCAGAAAATGAGAAATGTTCAAAATAATGAAAAAGCTGCAGTGCTTTTTAATGTATATTCCAGGCAGAGCTTATATATATATATATATATGTATCTTTGAAACCACAGTGGAATGTATTTACAGTTGTTCTGACACCATTTTTCTCTTCACCATCACAGCACTCCAGCTCCCGGCTCGGTTACCAAAGCAACGTCCAAGGGTCCACTCAGTCACAAAGCACCATGGGATACTCGTCATCATCCCAGCAGAGCTCCCAGTACTCCCATCAGACGCACCGCTACTAGGAGCCGTGGAACCGCCTCCAGAACCCCTCCTCCACCTGACCCTTCACACCCCGCTTCTGGAACCAGCAGAGGATGCAACTCCTCATCTTTAATCGACACCCAGCAGCCTTCCTCGCCTCGGTCAGACCCCTAATCTTAGGTGACGTCATTCCAACTTGGCCTTCCTCCATTTGAAGCTGCTCTCATCTGTCATCTTGTTGTCTGAAACATGAAGGCAAACACAAATAGGAACCATAAGAAAAAAGACAGGTTCTGCCTTGTGGGGTGAAACTAAAGGAAACTAAATGCAAAAGGGATGTGAAGGCATCACGCAAACTGAGAATTATGGCACTTATAAATGCAAAGTTCCTCATCAGGAAGACTTGCAGCTGTGTTCATATATGTATATTATATAGCACCTTTTTCTATTTGATTCTTTTTTGTTTTGTTCTCTTGCTCGTTTGCTAGACGTTTGGAGTTTACCTTGATAGTTGATGTCACTCGAAATATTGTTACACATGGGAGCAGCAGGATGCAATGAAACGGTGGAGGAGCAGACCTTCATCCTCGTCTCCGTCGTCCAATCAGAAGGAAAGGAGCGTTGGAGTTAACCCTGTCCGCCTAAATTCAACCATGACCCAGAGACTCCTGTTCCCACACAGCAGGGGGGGAACGTCAGCTGTTGAGCTGATGTCAGTGCAGGGAAATATTAAAGCGCAGTTTATTGGAAGCTTTGTAATATAGACTTTGTATATTTAGATCCAATTCATCTCAACCTCGATTTGGAAAGCGAGAGAAGCAGTCGTCTTTATAGAGCGCCACCTTCTGGAGGTTCCAATCAGCCCACCGCTTTTTGCCGACGACCAGACTCTCCCTGTTTGTGCCGGTGGAAACTTTGCTCTGATATCCATCTTTTCTCGGACCATCAGAACTTTGAAGGTCTTTTTTAAACTAGTATTTTAAACACAGATGTAACGTGTGCATTACGTACAGGGCAGCTAAAATTACCCTGCCTTCCCCCCGAAATATGATTCTTGAGCCTGTTACTGCCTAATGTCAGATTTTTTATTTTATTTTTATTTTTTAAGGTTTAATTATTATTACCAAATGTGTGTGAGAGTGTGTGTGCATGTATGAATTTTTATTTGCATGTTTTTTCAAACTTACCAGAATTGCACTGAGCGCTGAACCCGTCTGCAACGAGCTGGAACAAACGCTGGGTGAGTTTTTGTCACCTAAACTTTTGCCTTTTTTTCTGGGACAAATTTGCCAAAATATGACAAACAGTTGTTTGGCAATAGCCTCATTTGGCCACATTTAGAGATAAAGGGTGCGTTCTTTACTACCACTAATATGTTCAGTCTTTTAAGCTTATTAACACTATGAATGCCACGTTAGTTTTTAATTCATTAAATTTTGGATTTATTCTGGCTTTTTACAGGGCCAAAATCATACAGTGCACATGTGCATGCACCCCACTGGTACTTAGATTAAGTATGTCTTTTTAGCAAGTTGCATATAAACCACATGATTTGTTTTGCCAGCAGCAGTTTTTTTCGTAACTCACTCTTCCTACCAGAATCGGTCCAGATTACTGAAAGTTGTGGATTTTCAAGCACAGAGCTGGATTATGAGCATAATCCAAACATTTTCCACATGTTTAAGATCAGGATTGTCCAGATGTATTTATCTGCTTGATGTGTGATCTGTTCAGCATGTTGAATATTTGATGCAGTTAAATTTGTTATGCTTGTCATTTAAAAATCATCAGGGAAAAACAGATCATGACAGGATGTTTTTGACGCTGTCAGTCAAAATGATGGAGACTGAGAAAGTCTAAACACTCCTCTGCCTGAGAGATCTGGGAGATGACCCATGTCTGTACCCGCCCCCTCAGCCAGTGAACCAACCAGTAGCCGAATGCTAATCAAGTCTCGTCTGGCCGGCACAGAATGGAACCATATCTCTTGATAAGAGAAGCTAAAACTGTGCCACTAGAAGAGTTCTGGGTAGGATATATTTGCAAAGTAAATTTAGTCTATTTTTAAAATTTTATTATTTGAGTCTGTATACTCCAGTTAACAATTAATTGATCAGCCTTAAAACTGAACTATCAGATTTTCTTGTGGTTTTTCTGCAACTTTCTGACAGACATTAAGCCAAATATTAGTTTGGGTGTATGTATATGTTTGATCTAGCATGTATAATTTTGATGCTGTGTGGAATATGTAAAAGTTGTTCATCAAATTCCTGTTTTTAATATTAATAGAACACGTCTGGATCAGCGCTCCTTCGCTTTTGGCTTTTCCCTTTAGGGGGCGCCACGGCAAATGTTCTGTATCGCCGCTCTCACCAACCAGAGAGTGTAGGCCAGCCAATGTCCATAACACTACACAACCCCAAACAGAACAGTTACGTCCAAAATTAATATGACATCATTAGACCTGGTGAGTTTATGTCAACTTCAGATTGGCCCTGTAGATGATTTGCATTTCATAATTATCTGGAGTCCAGATTTGAGAAAACCTGTGCGTGGAAACAAGGAGCTCTGATGTAGAGCATTTCCTCCTCTCTTATTTTTCCCTTAATCTTCCAGATTAAAACAGTTCGTCTTGGACCAATTATTTGTGCTGTTGGGAAGAAGCAGAAGATTATTACACTGCTGCCTTCCTGTCTGCTTGAGGTCTGAGCTTTGACTGGACCATTGCAAACCTGAGTGAAGCTGACCCCCTCCACTTTCTTCAAATCAAACGAATTTGGTGTCAAACGTTTATGATTTTTTTTTTTTTTTTTTTTTTTTTTTTTTTTTTTTTGAAGACATGAAGGATTTACATCGTTGAAAGGTCAACCAATCCTACCTCACACTAACCAAATAAGAACAAAATTGGTCAATGATTTGTGCTACATTTGTAATGGTTTATGCTGCTGAAAAGGTTTTTTGTGCCATTATAATTTTGTGATTGGGGCTGATTGACTTTTTTCTTTTTCTTTTTTCTTTTTTTTTGGCTTAGCCCAACTTTATTTGAGAATGGTTGGACAGGAAAGTTGGTACTGAATGAGGGGGAATACATGCAGCTAAGGTCATCAGACCAGGAATCAAACCTGCGACGGCCACTTCCAGGACTAACGCCTCCATATGTGGGTGGTGCTCTACCCCTGCACCACCACAGCACCTAACCTTTAAATTTTAAAAACAATATCTTCATATCTTCATAACAAAAGCAGCACAAACATAGCAGAGTTGACCAGTTTTGTCTCTTGCAACTTTCATTAACATCTTTAAAATGATAAAGGCAGAAACACACATTTTTGCTGTATAGGCATTTGACACCGGTTTGATTTGGTTTGAATAAGGTTACATTGGGGAGAGAGTGTGTTAACTCCACTCAGGTCCATTTTTCTTAGATTCCTTGCAGACAGGCCTGACATTATACTTGTTCCTCTTTGTTGTGATCTTCATGATGCATTTCTGTGTGTTTCTAATGTTTTCGCTTTTGTTGTCAGGCCATAATGAGCTCACTACATTAAATTAGCGAAACACATTTAGGAATCAGTTAGATATGAAATCACCCTTGGTGTTTTTCTACTCCTATATTTGCTGTTTATTGACTGAACATTATGAACAATGAAAGAATAGATCATTTCCTTCATCCTTATTGGTCCCGGCTGGTCATGTGATCAGTCGTAATTCAGGCTGTATTAAAGAACGCACCCAGTGGGTCCATTAGCTGTGTTTGTGTTTGTCTTCACACAGGCTTTAACCAACAAAGACTTTTTTTAATTTGCCTTCGATAGCATTAGTAAAACACTGACATCTGGTGGCTGAAAGTAGAACTAAACCCTCTGCTTTCAGTTTGCAGGTCTTGATTTGTGGAGGCAGGACAATAACCGGTAAACAACTGAAGTAAAAACAGGACAAACTTTTAGATGAATAAAACAGTTTAACAGAATTATAACCCACCAGTTAGATCCTAAATTCTATTTCACACATAATCTTGATATACACATTGCCATATGGCATCTGTAAAGTTGTCTTCCTAACCTTTATTTTTGTACTTTTAGTTTTTTTTTGGCTGAGATTTCTTAGCATTCAAGCAGAAACTGGAAGTTTAGTTTTTCTCTGTGAAGTCTGTGTGGTTGAGTTATTTTGTACAATGTGTTTTTGTGTGTGTTATGGCATTTTGGCAGACGGGCCGAATGGGGAGGGGGGTGGGGTCAGGGTTGGGTTGTACACGACGCCGTGGATCAAAACCAGCAGCTATAGTTGAAGGTTTTCCTCCTCCCTTCAGCATGCATATGAGAAGGGAGCTGCAGCAAAGACACCTGAAGACACTTTGTTGTACATTTCTCTCTCCACAAGAAGCGAGGTGTCACAAGTATTAACTGAGCTCTAGGCACGAGTGAGTGGCAGGTCACTGTCAAACTACTCCTATGCAAACAAACCCCAGACTAAAGCTTTCACCCGTGCTTAGCTTCTGCGATGATGACTGCAGCACACACAGTGCTCCTACTTTTGTTCACTTCCTTTAAAATGTATGTTAAATGTTCTATTGTAAAAAAAAATGCATATATATCAATATTATACTATCATATTTATTATTTCCATGCATCTACATCCAGCGGACTTTCCTCTGCCTTAACAAAGACAGCTATAGAAATGAACCCGGCATGTTTTTAAGCAGTAGCCTACTTTTCCTCCACCAGCACGTGGATATGGGCTATGGGTGCACTGATTGCAGATTTTTGGCCGATCACCGATCCTTAAAAAGCCTGACCTGCTGATTCTAATTAGGCCATTTTTTTTGTCTGAAATGTTGCTAAGTTGGCAACAGTGGGTTGACTATGATTAACCGTACACATGTAGATGTGAGCTGGTGGGCGGGTCTATCAGTCAAACTTCTCATGGCTGATTTCCAGACCTTTGCTGAGGTCGATAAGATCAGTGGAAAAGATCAGCTTCACATCAGCCGATCACTGATGTCCCAAAGTTAATGAAATTTATTGGCCGGCCAATTTATCAGTGCACCCATAATATGGGCCCCATGTGGGTGTTGGTCAGGCAGGTTGATTTGGGCTCTGTGTAGGGTCCATTTGGGTTGTTTTATGAACGCCTTCTAGTCTGACCCAGTTGGGAAGCAGGGATAGCTCCTAGCTGGGTCAGTCTGTTAATACCTGCCAGAAACTGCAGGGCTCTTGTGGGCCCAGATTTCCATCAAACGTCTACAGAACATTGATATTGGACCATGGTACAGTTTTTGCAAAAACATTCATACTCATTCATGCATTTCAACTTTTGAAAAACGTTATGTGCACACAATCCTCAAGTTGTCTTTTGGGGATTTTATGTGATAAACCAAAACTCAGTAGTTCATGATGGAGGTAGGCACCAAAAACTCTGGGGATTAAATTCTACATTGAGCTTTAGGTTGTTGCATATCGATCAGATTCTGATCTATTGATTTTAAACTTGCAAACCTGACATTGTAATGAAAACCCATGTGTACTGTAGTTTTGCTACTACAGTACAAATGATCTGACCACCAGACACACAGGTGTAGACAAAGGATCAAGGGATGTTTTGAAGACCTTTTATCATTTTCTTTCAACTCCACAATTTAAAATTACCTTGTGTTGGTCTGTCCTAATAAAATTCACTGAAGTTTGTGGCAGTAACACAACAAACTGAAAAAAAATTGAGTATGAATATTTTTACAGGCACTGTCACCTGTAGTTATCCCCCATTTAAAAGTAAGAGTGCAATATTTCTTGTGAGTTACCTCAGAAAGTGAACCAGTCATTTTATAGAGACTCATTAGGCATAGAGCAAAATTCTTCAAGCTATATATATATATATATATATATATATATATTATTATTATTTTTTTTTTTTTGCAATTTTAATGGCTACTGCTTACAGGTAAAGAAAACATAAGATGACTGACAAGAAATATTCCACTTTGCACAGCATTCTAACTTGTTTTGATGTGATACTTTCTGGCTCCTTTTGATGAACTGCCGTTGAATGATTGGTCGTTGGTCCAACTTGTTCTGCTGTGAGCCCAACATAAGCTGGGTTTCCATTACAAATATGTGCAAAACTTTGTCAATAGTAAGCTAAACAATATCAAAATCCCCCTCACAATTTCGGAATTGCAGTTTCTAGCCCAAAAACCTTTTATTAATAAACTTGAGTGTTTCCTTTTTAAAATTTCCGTGTTTCCATTAAGCGGATCTATTTGCATAATTCCAATTTGCGCAATTTGAAGGTCAATGGAAACGCAACCGTAGACCCACAGCTGTCTTCACAGCACCGAATGATGATGATCCACCTTTTGTTTTGTGTGGATGGTGCCTTTTCTTTTTATCGTCCGAACATGCCATTTCAGTTTGTGTTCTCTGACCTTTTTTAACTCCTAGCAGCTAAGCATCCACATTTAGCATGACTTTGATGTGTCTCACCTCAGAGGACTGCAGAGAATCCCGACTGAGGGCGAGCGTGTGGTTCCTCTGCTGACAGATTATTATTGTCACACATTGCTAGTTCTAAGTCTGTTTTGAGATGCTGTACATAACCACATTTTAAGACTTCCTCATTGAGATACTAATAAGATAATTGTCTTCTAATGCACTGTTGTTGCTAAGATACCTTACATAGTGATAAGTTGAAAGAAAGTATTTACTGTTCTTTATTGTCTCGCTTTGGACACTAAAGTTCCTGGCAGTGCACACTATTAAACTCTGGTGCACCATGGGCCACTCTCCTTCTCTTCTCGCTGTTTTTGAATAGTGTTGCATGTGCCTGCCTTTTTTCCAGTTGAGAACGTTAGCACTTATTGTCCCACAGTTTGTACAGACGGACAGATGCTCCACCCGCACAGCTCAGTTCCTGCCATTCCTGCCGTGCCAAGCGTCCATCGGTTCTTTAAGCCCTCCCGCACTGTTAAGAGACAGGATCTGTTCAACCCCATGAGCTTTTTACCTTGTGTGGGGTTGCACTGACCCTTCATGTGCTTCTACAAGCATGTGTGTGTGTGGTTTCGGGAACTGACAGTCTGACTGGACAAACCCCCGCTTCCCCACTGTCTGACTGTGACATCTGCCGCATCATTAATGGTGTTGCCCCACTGGCGCAGAACCCAGTCCCTTCCAATCCCCCTCGCTGGTTGTCCCAGAATGCTCTCCCTGAGCTGCAGGAGGAAACACAGAGCTTTGCTTGTTGGAGCGTCTGTCCACTCTCCTATCTGTATTTGGTATGAGTGTGCGTGTGTGTGTGAGAGAGAGAGTTGGCCTGCACATGACTTTGGAATCTACATATGGCCTATATGTGTTGTCTTTTTTCATAGCGTTTATAGATGAGGCAGCAACAGCCCGCGCAGGAAAATCAGATGTTTATTTAGCTGCTTTTAGCAAACTTGTCCAAATGTCACTGTACAAATGACTGTTAATGAGAAAAAAGTCATGTATATTTATTTTATATCCTCTATAATAAAAACCTCTTTTGTCTGACTTGTTTTTTTCTTTTAAGATTCATTTAGAAAAATTGTGGCAACAATTTCCACTCAGCATTTTAAGTTACCATTGCTTATTATCAAGTAAACCCAGCATGTCATTTTTAGGTCCCGTTAATTCAACTGGTTTAGGAAACCAATGTGATTTACCTCAAACTCCCAAAACATGATTATGTTGAAGCAACCTAATATTAATTTAGAATTTTTGGTAATATTAAGTTGACAAATAGTTGAGTTATAATTTTTTTACTCACAAATATTGATGTAATTTGTTTTCAGAGTTGAAATAACTTTTCAAACCAATTATTGTGAAATGTTTTCTTAGCTAAAAGGAACAGCTACACACTTTTTTTCCCTTATGTTGCAGCATGGCCAATGCAACCGCAAAGGATGTTCAAACTCACTTCCCTACAAACTTGATGTCTTTTAATGATAAAAGTGTTTGTTCATTGAACTCAGACATTTACGCTGAGGCGTTCTTGATTTATTTTTGTGGTATTTTGTCTTTTAAAAATTACTCTATGAAATTTATAGACAACTATAAATGCTGAAAAGTGCTTTTATGTTCAGGCCAACCAACAAACACCATAAATATTTTTTGTGAAATATTTTTACCACATGATGGCGCCCTATAGCAACTCTTCGCTGTCTGGGCTCTGAGAAAAAGAGTAGAGGAGATTTTTTTTTAACTGTCTTTCACAAACCATCTTTGGACCAGTTCAGAGCTGCCTTCATTCTTTTTGACATAGAACCAACTCACAGATCCTGGAAGTTTCCATCAGAAGATGAGAACACTGTGACCTTAAAGTAACGGACATGGTCAGCAACAATTCTCAGGTAGGCTGTGAAGAGCACACAATGATCAAGTGACACAAAGGAGCCCCATATAGCCACCTATCACCACCGTTATATCACCACCAACAGAGCCGGCCAGAAGCATATGCAAGTTAAGGCGTTTAAGGATTTCCATCAATAGGGGGCCCAAAAATGCCAAACTTACTTACATGGTTAAAAAATATTATATATTTGAAAATACCTTTGTACATCAAAATACCTTTAATGTACAAACTAAGAACAACTTTTATATATATATATATATATATATATATATATATATATATATATATATATATATATATATATATATATTATACAGTTGTTACACAAATAGATTACTTTCTTCCTCATGTTGACTGCTGCCACTGCTGGGGAAGCATACAGTACCAAGCTTGTTAGCTTGTTTACTGTAACTTTATTGTTCGTGAGCTGGTGTTACTTTCAAATAGTTAAAATCATGTATAGTATGGCACTTTTCAATGCCATTCCGCATTTCAAAATCCAAAAATATACATTTTTAGTTCGCTTTTAAAATCAAAGGCGATAACACCGGTATGAAAGTCAGCTAGTTACAAACCATGCTAATGATAGTATGTTACACACATAGAGTAGCTTAGGAATGTTGAAGCATCTGGTGTTAACATGTTGGTAAAGGAGGGCCCAAATGAAGATCTGCTTAAGGTCCCAAAAAAGGTCTTGAACACTAGCTGAACTGTTAATACAAGGCAGAACGGATCCATATTTTCATTATCACATTTGTCGCAATCTAAGATGATACTAAGGCCTCTGGGGCCGATGTCCTGAGACTGTTAGGTGTGTCTCTGCTTCAACCGAGGGTGAGGAGTCTGAGACGACGTTGATTCAGTGATCCCTGATCCATTGATCATGCACCAGGTATCGGGATTTGTTCAGGACTCATTACGGCCTGCTGGAGGGAAGAGAGCAACCAGTACAGGCAAGCTGAAACTTGGCAATGCCCCCACGACTTCTGGCGTAGCTTTGCGTCGACGGATGAGCCTCCGGTGTTCCTGCCAGCCCCTAAAAATTTATGACTGACATGTAGAGAGCTCAGCAGAATGTGCTTATAAAATAGATCCTGTGTCCTACTTATGTTGCTGCTGCAGCAACACAAGCTGCCTGCACACCAACAGACTTCAGGCCAACCCCACAAGGTGGTTGTGTGGATGTACAGGTGCTGCAAGGAGGAATGTTTCTGCAGGGTGCTAACTCGTTTGGTTCTTACAGTTGATGAATCTGTGTGTTGCTAATGAATTACAGCGTGAGATTTAATGTGTTTAATGGGTTTGATAATGAGTAAGACCATATTTAAAGCTTCAGTTTTATTTTACAGCCCAAAATCAACAGGAATGAAAATTGGAATTTAAAAAAAAACAAACACTGTGGCATTTATTTCGACTTTTATTGCAGGTAATATAATCTAGAAATGTTTCATGTTTCATCTTGTCTGCCCGATTCTGCATTTAAGATCTGCAACACATTCCAGAAAGAACAAAAAAAAGGATCAGGAAGCTTTTGGAACTTCATAGTGTTATCAGTAATAAACTGAACTTTGCATTGTTTGAAAATTAGGATTAATTAGGAATGTAATTATTAATTGACTTGGAATCTGTCTTAATTGCTGATTTGAGTTGATTGGAAACAATTTGTGAATTAGTGCTATATAAATAAACTGAACTAATCCTCCATTCCCACAATACTTACAATAATATTTATCACGCTTTTAATTTTATTCTGGATCTGGAGGATCTGAATGTCAACAATGCCTAATGCAACCACAGAGCTGACCGAAAGCACAAAGGAATTACCAGAGTAAGAAACTCCAGATCATCACACTGCCACCACCGTCTTTCACCAGCTGAGTTTCCATTACACATGTACGCAAAACTTTGTCAATATTCTGCTAATGTTGAAAAAATAGAATTTTGTAAATGCAGCATTTCCATTAAGTAGGGAACACAGTTAAAGTCACACATGAACAAGTTTGTTCTCATGATAAGTTGTTAAAAAAACAAGCTGCGACGTCGTCCTCCTACTACTTCCTGTCGTCTTCTTCTTCGTGGTTTATGCCAGTGGCAACATCTGGTTGTTGATCATGTGACTCATGGGATGCAAACAGAGCTTCCATTCCAGTTATGCAAGATAAATCAATTTCAGCACAGCCAAAAAAAACACACTTCATCCTCGTGCCAAAATGTTTTATTGACAGGAGGTTTGAAATTGAAACACAGCTACTGCTGCTATTATGTTTTATTTTTCTGTGTGAGAGTTTGCTCACCTCCACTCAGCTGCAGGTCTCCATTTCTGGGCGTGGCCGGGCAAGCTACAGCATTCACAGCTGACTAGAACCTCCTAATTGGGCTGCTGACAAAAGGAGTTGTTGGAAGAGCACAGTCTATGATGGTAGAGTTAAACCTCCAGCTGGTTCAAACCTGTTCCATGCCTTCTTTTAACGTATGTGGCATCTGTGATACCAGATCACCTCTTTGGATCTACTGTCCTTCTGAGATGTTGAATCCCTTGAGCCACTTCCTGCTTCACAGTAATCAAAGCTCCATCTCCTTCAGCAGAAAGTTACCTGCTTTAGGAACCACAATGAGCCACACCGCCCCGTCTTCCAGAGTCGTACCCAAACCGCTCAACTCCAGAACCATCCAGACCTCTCACTCCAACTCCTCACACGTTCATTCCTTCATCAGACTCACCTGTCCTCAAGCACCTCCAACGTTTCTCCTTTAATCCTCCAGGTGAAACATGAATCCACAACCAACTGTGAGAGTCCTGAAGTCAGAAACTGTAAATACTTCTTCTGAGAACTGTTTCCTGCATGGTTTCCCAAAGGTCATGTTTTTTTCAGCGGAAACACCTGAATTTGGAGGGGGGGAGAGGAAGCACAATTTTTCATGAAAGATTTTTATCTAAGATGAGCCGTTTTTTTTCAGCAGCATCAAAAATTGTGTATTTCTTCCAAATGCAATGGAAAGACCTTTTCCATAGGAAACAGTTTATTTGTAGGCACTGGCCTCCACTGGAGCTTTCACAGCATTATGTCCTTCATCAGAAGTTGAGCTTAATTTGAACGTGTTGAGTTCATAGGTAGCTCTTCTGTTCAATTTCCCAAAATGGCACAAATGTAGCTTCTGTCATCCCAACGCCTGACTACGACGTCGATGTCTCCACTTGTGGTTAAGTGCGTCTACCACAGCTGAAATATGAACATGATCTCCTTTAAGGTTTTACATTTGTTGCTGTCCTGATTTTTACTGATTGTGTGAATATCCTTATTCACGTGTGATTTTCATTGACGTTTTCATTTAATGGAAACAAAATTGTGGGGATTTTTTCAACATGAGCAAAATATTGAAAACCTTTTGAGCAAATTTGTAGTGGAACGATGTTTGCCCAGACTAACTGGAGCAAGTGCTGCCTGCAGTTCCTCAGATGTTCTGCTTGGTTTTGGGACTTCCTGGATGACTCATCAATTAGTTGTTGGAGTAATTTACCAGGCTGACCACTCCTGGGATTGTTCACCACTGTTCCATGTTTTCTCCATTTCTGGACAATGACTCACTGTCATTTGCTGATGTTTAGAGTTTTATTGTTAATCTTGGTATATTTCATTTATTCACATGTAAAGTGCTTCACACATTTGTTTTTCAATTAGTGGTACATTAAAACTACAGTATGTAACTTTACAAAATATGCCTTTTTTTCTTTCTGTTTTTTACATACTTTGATGAAACTGTCACTATTTCATGATTTTCATCGCAGTTCTCAGGGAAACTGCAATTGTCTATATGAGACAGATAATCTTTGAAAAAATCAATCTCATCCTCCTCTCTGAACTATTAAAGCACCGCTCCCGACCAAAAATAACCAATCACAGGCAGGAGGAGCGTTTCAATGAGCATTGTGTATGTGCTACTAAATATGGTGAAGAAATAACTCACTATTACAGGAAAACCATTTATCTCTGTCCCTAGCACATTGGACAGCTCATACACGAGCTTGATTGACAGCACTAAGACCCTCCTCTCCTAGCTCTGATTGGTTGACCTGATTTTTTTCACTGTTTATCTGCCTCACGATATGCTGTCATGGCAAAGTGACAGTTTTAACAAATATATGAAAAAAAATATCTTTGTAAAAGTTACACACTGCAGCTTTAAGTTGATTCAACTTAGGAGCTTCAACTTAGCTCTCTATATTTATTCGGCCTGTATTTATCCAGGCTGTCTTATTGAGATATAAGATCTCATTTGCAAGAGAGACCTGCTTTGATAAAACATTAGATAAAACTATTATATCTAAACCTCGTCTGCTTCATCTAAATCAAGATCCTAGAGTTATCTACCGCAGATAAAACATTCCACTGCAGATTGGCTCTAAACAGATGAAAATTTGAACTAACCTTAAACATTTTTTAACGACAGAAGTGTTAGCAGCATTTCAGTGACGGCCGCTTGTCATCACTGAAGGTTCAGAAACTTACAGAACCTTCCAGAATCTTACAGGAGCTGTTTAAGTTTCGCCTCAGTATGCTCTATCTGCTCTAGTTCTGGGTGGAGAACACTCGGCCCATCTGCAGAGAGTCAGTTTGACCTTATGGGTAGGAGATTGGTGTCTGGAGCTCGGCCATCGCACCACTCACTCCCTGTCTGCTTTCAGAGGAGGGTCCAACCACTTCATGCTTACACTCCACAGACCTTGACATTTCAATTGGTAATAAACTCTCCTCTCTCCTCTCAACTTGCCAGAGACTTTCTGAATGTGGGTGTTTCGCCGTTAAGATTTGATTTTTCTGCATTCAGTTTTCGCTCACTGTTACACATGCAATAACGTTTGCTTAGAACGCATCACAAGCATAGGTTGCATAACTATATATCAAAATAACAGCAATTGAAAAGCTACTTAAATTTTGTAGATGTGTTAAATTATTTTATTTTCATAAAATGTATGTTGGTCTCTAAACAAAAATCAACTTTCAGTTGTACATTTTGTCCTTGGATACTGAGGAATAAATCATATTTAAATAAGCTCAGATATTAAACCATTAGTGATAATATTATTGTAGTCAAATATCAACAGCAGAAAACAGATAAATAACCAACTTTTCTAACCAAAAGGATTTTCTAAAAGGAACGAGGAATAAGCTGTCAGAGTATTATCAGTTAAATGTTTAATTTTATTAACAATATTATTAGTGCATGCCTCTTTCTCTCTGAAACTCAAACTTATGATTTTCATACAAACTTGGAGGTCTAAAAAGATCTGACTTCAGGCAATGAAAAGTTTTGATAAGAAAGAAGAAGAAGAAGAAGAAGAAGAAGAAGAAGAAGAAGAAGAAGAAGAAGAAGAAGAAGAAGAAGAAGAAGAAGATTTTTTTTTTTTAACAAAACGTTTATTTACGATGATTTAACAATAAACTTACATAATAATCAGGTTAATGAAAACCAAATAAAAACAATAAATATTTACATTAGCAGCTTGTTAAAATTAAGTTCTCCCTGATTAGAAATGGTGCACAGTACATCATTAAAACCCCATAGCTGTAAAAAAGCTCTCATATTCCCAGTGGCTCTGTGGAAGCAAAACTCCAGCCTCAGCCTAGCTTTGACGTTGCACTTCCACAGAGCCACGGCATCCAGATGAGGACCAGCCTGGAGTCTGTCTCTTCGTTTTAAATACATCGCCATTTTGGCTTCAGCAATTTAAAAAATTGCTGGAGAAGAAGAAGAAGAAGAAGAAGAAGAAGAAGAAGAAGAAGAAGAAGAAGAAGAAGAAGAAGAAGAGAAGAAGTTAGATGAAGTTCTTCATCTAACTTATTTATTTCTGATTAGACCAAATGTAATGTTTCTTGCTTGTTTCATAACTGGTTACTGAATTGTGTTTTTATGATGTAAATTGCCTTGTTGCTAAAATGTTCCAGAGTAAGTCAAATAAACTTGACTTATTTGTGTCTGCAGTTTGAAATATGTAACGACATGTTAACAACTAACAATATCTATCAGATAGTTGAGATCAAGGAAAACAGATCAGATGATCAGAATCAGAATTAGCCTTTATTTATTTCAGTAAAGTCCATCCAAAACAATGACAGACAGCATGAGACGTGGCAGACAGGAGCCTGAGGCTGCAGCCAACTTGGGAGGTGATAAGGAATCACTGTAATTCAAGCACTAGTGGAATTTATTGAACAGGAAAAAGACAAGAAATAGGGAGGAAAAGGAAGTGAAAGACATGCAGGAAATGGTTCCAGAAGAGGAACTGAACCAGGACAATCACACTGAGGACTATAGTCTCTGCAGATGGATCATGTGTTCTACCAACACCCTACTGCTGACCAGAGTCTGTACGTCACCGCTCATCCAGCCAACTGTTCATCCCTCAGCTCAGTGGAGAGGGAAATCTCTGCACATCAGGAATGAAAATGTTCAGCAAACAAATGTTTTTTGTTTTGTTTTGTTTTTTGTTTGTTGACAACTGAAACCCAAACATGGTGCTGAGGCTTGTTTCAGTGCGTCTGTTTGGACTCTCTTCTTCTTGGTTCTGTGTGTCAGTCAGTCAGTCCAGACTCTTCCTTGGGTCTGGATTCAATCCCCCTTTCATGATCGGGCCTCTGCTTGTGACACATTAAACAATGAGGTTCAAAATCTACAATTTTTTTTTAACTATATTGTTTACATTCTCAGACAGAAATGTTTCCAAAGCAACCCTGGGTGAGGTATCTCTCCAGCTGAAAGCAGCAGTCTAATTCAAGGTTTCCTGACATCCAGTCAGCATTTATATCAAGTGCTAATCATGTTCTACAGCAGCAAAAAGAGATTATTAATTTGAAGGACTTTATTAGAAAAACATCCGTAATGGCTTTAGGGTCACAAAAGTCAAAGGTTTTAAAAGGCAGCAGATAACTGTCAGGAGGAGGGAAGTGGACTGTTTGGCTCAACATGTCTCCTTAAAGGGGCAGTATTATGTCATTTCTAGAAACATAGTGCCATTTTATAGAACAATAAAGTACCTATGTTACCTTCAGTTGTTATAAAAATGATGAATATATCAAATATGATTGAAAAGAAATTTGGTAATGTAATTTAACATTGTGAAATTGGGCCTCTGTCTCTTTTAAAAAGTACAGATCTGAGGAGGATGTAGTCTTAAAGGCGGATCCCCGAGGCGTTTTGCACAGCTGAACGGTTGCCATAGAGACTAAAGAATTTCTCAAACATCAAAGCAACACTGTAGGTATGTTTTTGAGGAGGAAATAACATCATAGCCTGGATCATCATCACATAATGCTGCGGAACCGATCACTTCCCTCTTCAGTGAAGTGAGGATGATGCTGCATTCAGGTTGTTACTATGCAGGTAGCAGTTGGTTCTAGGAAAAATGTCTTTTACTTAATCACCAGATAATTTAACTCTTACTGCCAATAGCTGCATAATCAACTGGTTTATCAATCAATCAGTCAGTCAAATTTTATTTGAATAGCATATTTCAGGAGCAAGGCATTCCAAAGTGCTTTATATCATAAAAACGCAAAGTCTTGCAACATAGAATCAACAACTGAAACATTACATTTCATCAAGTGCCATCGTTAAATTCTTAATCCGTTATGTTGCAAAAGTAACTCCAAACAGGTGGCTTTTTAGTCAAAATTCAAAGGAACTCAGTGATTCAGAGATTTTGCAATATTTTGGAAGTTTGTTCCAGATGTGCGGCGCATAGAAGCTGAATGCTGCTTCTCCTGCAAAAACTGAAAAAAAAAAAGCTCTGTTTACGATGGAAAATCTAAGAAACTCAGGCACCTAGCAATGCTCCTACCTGCTGTGCTCAGGCAACACTATGACATGTGAGATACAGCCCCTTCGTGTTTCTGCTTTCTCTCAGTGGATAACAAGGACTTTACAACGTGGCGTCTGAAAGACTGTACGGGTTAAATGCTGGGATAGAAAACAGAAGTGTGACACATACATGTAGAGCACATGTGAAGTGCAATGAGGATGCAGGAAGATCAGGGGCAGGACTGTGTGAAGTTTACATTAACACCATGCAGTCTGGCTGAAAGTAAAGCCATCACTGGTAGTGGACAGCGTGGTGGAGGATTTCCCCAGACAACCCTCCCAAATTCACTCAGAGTCTGTTACAGACTTTAACATCTATAGAGGTAACTGAGCCATGCAGCGTCTGACATGGAGCTCTTTGGGGATTTTGTTGCTCCTTTGAGGAATGCACAGTCTGACCTCGGGGATATTTCAGAGGGATGTAGTATCTTGAATGCTGACCTCCAGATGCCACAGCAGCAGCTTCCTGTGTGGTTTGCTGTGGATTTCCTGCTGGTTGCAGCACTTCTTGCCTAATTTTAACAGCGTTTCTCCCTGCAGCTCTGCTCCTGCAGGTGTTCTCAGTGTTTCCACCTGTCAACTGGAGTTTTTTTTTTTTTTTTTTTCCAACACCACTTTCAACAAATATCATTATCTGATGGAGGAACATTTTCCTGTCCTCTTTTTGCAAAACTTTTCTATTTTTCTTCATTTTAAAATTTAAAAACATGAAGAAAGTTCTTTAAAAATGACAACTTTTCTAGTCCAGTAGATACTTATCAACAAATTATAAGTTGTGTTTTTTTAAAAAGGCACTTGCAAGTTTTATTTGGCTGGATTAAAGGTAAACATGGATGTTTGCCTTTAAGCATCAATTACAAGTGCATCAGATGTTTTTGTAATTACAGCAAAATAAATATAGATAATTGGTAAAAAAAAAAAAAGTATTGAAAATTATGTTGGTTCCACGTTTTAACTAAACACTTAATCCCAATAAAATACAATAAATTGTATAACTATCAAATAATAAAATGGGATAAGAAAACTTTAGCCAGCCGCTGCAGTTTGGATACATTATAATAAACAGTATCAACAGTTTTTTCTTCACTAGCATTGATAATATCTGCTAATGACATTAGTGGAGATCGCTTTTCTGATTAACCGGTTCTTAACTATATCTTTTGCTGCATCATCTAATTCCAGCTTGCCCTTTAAAGCAATGCAAAGCAGAATTAAATTGAAGTTTTTAAAAATTGGTGAGGATCTGTTCTCTATGAGAAAAGGTCAACATTTATTAATTTTAACGTAAGATTTAAAATTAAGAAAACGGTTCTCTTCCTTATCTCCACGACAGTGTGCATAATTCCACATGTGTGAAGGTCTGAAGTTGCAGCTTGATATGTCAGTCCTGCATAAGAGCAGAACAACTTTGTGCTGCCCTCATTTCCTCTGTCCCCTGTATCTCTGCATGGAGCTTGTTTGTGCAGGACGCCTGCATGACCCTCTCTCAGCGGCCAGCAGACAAGCAAAGAGGTTTGCTTAAGACGGGAGTAATGACTGGAGGACCACTGCAGAGCTGAATCTAAACTGCTGACCCACGACATGCTGTCCTCAGACCGTGAGAAACGGGCCTCTTTCCATGCCAAGAAAGTGGGTGGCCAGTCCTCTTCCTCCAGAGCAGCACATCACAGGAGTGTGCTCAGTTTCAGGCCTGGAGGGTTTTTTCTACCAGGCTGCTTGTGTTGAATGCACATGCTCCCCCTTTGGTTAAGCTAGCACAGCATGTTTTGTATGAGTGCAATGTCTTGCAAAAATATTAGATTTGTGCAACATATCAGCAGATATTAATCAATTTTTTAACATATAAATGTTGGTCTGACAAATAGAGCCGGGTCGATGTTAACAGATATTTATTTCCATCTTGTTGCCATTTTTCTGGAGCGGGAGTGAAGGAGAGCTGCTATGGACAAGTGCTGCGAATTAGCTGTTGCTATTGCACCATGAGGCAAACATGGGACTGCTGTTTTATTCAGTTTGTCTATGTCAATGTGTGTCTGTCCCTATCAAATAAACTTGAAAGAAAAAAAAAAGGCTGGTCACTGATGGTGATGCAGCAAAGGGCTGTGAAGTAGTGAAATATATGCAGTACAATATTGGTAAATATTGGTTATCTGCCATAGCAGTAAAATTTATATTGGATTTTGATATCAGTCCAAATTTTGAAATCGGTGCATCCCTAAAAAATATTCAAGATTATTGCTGGTCAGAATAACTTTTTGACCAAAACATACAAAATATTGTATGTTACCATACCCAGAGTGAAACTTTGTGATGGCAGCATCATACTGAGGAATGTTTGATTTTTTTTTTTTTTTTTGAGGAGGGAAAATAAAGCTGGATATAGATGATGGAAAAATAGCTGGAGCTAAAACCAGATCAGTCCTGGAAGCAGCAGACCGGAGACTGGAGCGAAGCTTCAATTTCCGGCTGGACAGCAACCCGACGCACAGACCCAGATATGACCACAGCAGATGGATGAGTTAAAACAGTCTGGCTGCATCTGGAATCCAATTGGGAATCTGTGCAAGACTTTTAACTGGACTGGACTGGAGCTGCTGTGTATAAAAAAGAAAAAAGAACAACAACAAAAAACAAGCAATAAATTTGGTCTCCAGATGTGCACAACTGGTTCTGACTGAATATCATTGCATGCTTGTCAGGTTTTTATTTGTTAACTATATTAAAACACATGTATCGCTTTACTTTCATATGCACTTTTTGCAAAAGACAAAAAAACCCATCGTATTCACTCGTCGTGTTGTGTATTCACACAAAGAAAGTGAGCAAGTGAAGAACACGCTGCATCCACAGTCACACAGTGAAGTCGTTGGAAATTCTTAAGAATTCTGATTCTGTTTTGTTTTCCTGCTGATTCAGTGAGCTGACACTGAGCCCTGCATGCCACAAGCTTGTCACAGAGTGTGGAAGGCATTGTGCAAAGCAAGGAGAGCAGTGTTCAGGGAGCATAAGAGGCTTCTCTGTCCCCCTCAGCGCGGCGCTCACAAGAGACGGGGAATTCTGCTCCCTGGGTTCCAGAGTCAAGGGTCACAGTCCGTGTGAGATAGCTGCGGCCCGATCCTTTCTGTGCGTGAGTCACCACATTACGCCGACACACGAGACGCCACATGTTTCCACCGAGTTCACATGAGAGCAAATGTGCCGTCGATTTTTCACCAAGGTTCCCACAAGCCTCTGTTTTCTCGCTCAGCCCTGCGAGCTGCGGGTTCATGCAGCGCGAAGCGGCGAGCAGGAGACGTGGTTCACGTCAATTATCTTGTAAAAACGGCGAGTTAAGTGGGCCACCTGTTTATGATGTCCATGTGTAATGAACAACAACAACGGTTTCTTGTTGGAAATAACTGGCTGCAACATTGCAGAAGGAAACTGGAGGACACAATGGTTTCGTGGTGAGCAGAGGAGCCCTTTGAAGTAGAGCTTTGTTTGTTTGACATAAAAAAAAAAAAAGCTGTTGCTGGAAACAAATGAAATTCTGTAAAGTAATGAGGTGATACTGGAGCATTTTAATATCCAACACTATATTTTTAGAATGTTTTAAAACTGGTCAGCTCCAAGATCCTGGAATTAAAAACTACATTTGGCTTCTCTGACTGCTGGGCTTTTAAAAACTGGAATGTCGTCTGAATCCAGTGAAAATTATTCCAAATATACTCTACAAAAAAGACTCATTTTAAGTCATATACAGTCACAAGACTCTTTTGTTTAAATATTTGGACATTTTAATATCAATCTTCACAACACGGAAAATTAAAGTAATTTTACCAAGACTCTGTAACATGCCATTTTAAAGGGGCAGTTTTATGTATGTTCCAGGCACAAAATGTAATTTCATTGCACAAACAGGAAAATGTTACCTTCAGTTGATATGAAAATGCTATATATATATATATATATATATATATATATATATATATATATATATATATAAGGAACATGCAGTTACACCAGCTGTTTGCTAATCACTACTGCCACTAGTCTGAAGGAACTGAGAGGGGGAGGGACCTTTGTGAGAGCAATTTTGCACAATCCACTGCCTTTAAAACAAGCAGTTTTTGGTTCAGGAGAATATTTGGTCACCCCGACATAAAAATTACAGACAGCTGTATCACGTCAGGTCATGTTTAATATAACATCACTCATCATTCTGAATGAGGTTTGATCTGTTTAAACCTTGGAGCTCTGGCTGCTGCTGAGGTTAGGCTGTCGAGGAGGCAAGTTCACCCTAGAAGCAGACAGCAAGATGCTAAAAGAAGTCTCCAGAACTCCTAAAAGGAAAGCCATATTAATGTTCCTGGTGTAGTTATACAAATTCCCATGTCAATCTGTTATTTTCAATTATGTTTTACTAAAAAGTGAATATCAGAAGGTTTCTTTAAACAGAATATTTCGCCTGAAAAAAAAGAAAAATCTCCGTAAATGATTACTAAAGCAAGTATAAAAGATCCTCGAGATGTAAAGGTGAACGTCTCTTCACAGTGAGCTTTCTTCTGCTACCTGGCAGCTCTTCAGCTGCTCGAGTGGCTGAGCAAAGTGTGTTTACAGTCCCCTGATGAGGGAGCTCATCATGTTTGGTCTTCCTCTCCCTACAGAGTCGGTGAGCCAGAAAGAGCTTTTCAGGTTCAGCTCTGTTTGGATGTTTGTGTTGCTGGTTCAGTCCAGATCTTTGGATATCATTATTATTATTATTATTATTATTATTATTATTATTATTATTATTATTATTTTTCAACCAGTGGGAGTTTATAACGTTATGACTTCACCATTGTAAAAAAAAAAATCATTCCAATTTTCTTGGAGAATGGGCGTGATTTCTAACACTAAGCACATTTTGACAAAAAAGAAAGAAAAGCCATGAGGTATCCCAATCGATGCGATGTAGTCAGACCAAATCCAACGTTTTGGGCTACATATAAAACTACATAAAAATTGCAAATGTGCAATTTCCCATTGCACATTTGCAATGGGAAATCATTACTACACATCAACCTACACACATCATCACAAAGGTGAAAACACTGTGGGGGTGCTTGGAAAAATTCTCATTGCAAAGATATGCAAATCTAGCAGTAACACACTCAAGTAGACTGACAGCAGCAATATTCTCTATGACTTAAATTTAAAAATCAGGTTATTTTCCATCTAACGCACAAACATGCATTACTTTTTAATAGTTTGTCACATTTGATCCAGATACAACACATTCAAGACTGTGGAAGTGAAAGTGACAAATAGTGAAAAGGTTTAAGGCACGGTATAGTACAAATGTTAGAGTGACTTAGGTTGTAATCATGCAGCTCAACTTCTCAAGCTGAGAACTCTGTTGTTTCAAACAAGTATTTTTTATGGATATCTCTCATGTGTCAAGTACTCTTGGTGGGCAATATTTTTTGAATTAGTGTTTGAGTTAGAGTTTTTGTTAAGAACAAAGTACAACTATCTGAAATCCATGTGTCAAATAAGTTGCTGTAAATTGTTGCTTGTTTTTCTGTCTTTGCTGTCTGAATGCATTTAAAATGGCTTCAGAAAATCTCAACATTCCAGCTCAAGGTTTTGAAAAAGTTACCCATCAGCTGACCTTAGGATAAAATTAAAATGAGATGAATGCTGGTGATAAAACTTCCTTAGAAAAACCAGTTTTTATCCCTCCAGCCGATAACCAAACTCTTCCTCTAGCTTATCTTCTGCTTGCACATTCTGGAACTGCAAGCAGCTCAACCTAATTTTCAGATGGTGAACGTTCTCCTTCTTCAGCACAACTTTGGAAACTGGGGTGGGGGGGGGGGAAGGAAAACAATTTCTTCATCTCGCGATAGCAGCTCGCTGAAGCAGCCGCCATATTCTGTGACAGTATTTTGATTCGTATCTGCTGGAAGTGAGGAAAAAGAAAAGTGAAGGGCTGCAGAGGGGAGGGGGGGCGAAGACGAGGAGCTGTCAAAAAGTTCTCTCGGAGTCTCTGTCAAACAGCAGAGGGCTGTGGCTCGGTTTGCCTCCGCTTCTTGCTTTTCCGAGGACACAGGCCCGGGGCCTCGGTGTTGTTAGCTCTTCTCCCAGTGAGCGCCCGGACCCCTTACGGCTTCTCCTCTCCCAGCTCCGCGGCCCTTCGGAGGTCCGGCGGCGGTCTCGGGTGTTGAAGGCGTCCCGGGGAGCGGCGGCAGCGGTGGAGACTGGAAGGTAAGTTCCATTTAATTAACGAGACTTTTCCATTTAGCGACAACCAGCAGGGAAGGATTTAGTCTAGTTTTTCTGGAGCAGAAAAACAAATTGAGCGTCTTCCACGGCAAGTGTTGTTACGTACGAGTCACACTGCCAGAGAAGAAAAGTTTGATGTGTGGAAAAACTTTTTGTCTCCAGCAAGCAGCTAGCAAAGTCAGCTAAGCTTAAGGGTTTATAGACCGTCGCCTTCCTGGCCGAGTGAAGAAAAAATTAAAAACTTTCGAAGCATTTTCTGAAAGTTTAACGTATGTGTTAATGGCTAAATGTGGTAATTATTAGCCGCCTCCTTAGAGTTTTACACTGCCAGGCGCTACATGTTTTGTAGCTCATGTTAGCCCAGGCTACTTTTTCCATTGAGCTCTCTGTTGAAACCTCGCAAAAATTAGTCAAGATGGAAAGGTTCAATCATTAAACTGTAAACTGACTAAGCTCCTTCACCCGGGTTGGTTCATTTCAAATCAACAAGTTTTTCTCCTATCTAATAAACCGAAGTTATTTTGAATAATGAGATAAATACAGTTTAGTGTCTCCACAGATTATTTTTCCTTTTTGCTGATAGATACGGTTCAGGTCTGGGACATTGATTTCGGAAGTATTTTGATTTATCGAAACCTTTGTTTTTCTGTGATGGAATGATAATGCAACAAATAATTTAGTGCACAGGGTTATATTTTAGTAGCAATGTTTTGACATGGATATTTTTGTGTTCTTGAGTGCTAATAATTAAAATTATAATTTTCACAGCACAACATGTAAGCTTTGAGAATATTTTAGTACTGTAGTTTGTTTGCCTAAACTGTCCCTACTAAAACAGTTTTTTTTATAACGAATTAATATCTAGTTTTCCATTTTCATTATTCCATTAACGTTACAGTAAACTAGTACAACTGGCAGTGAAACAACCCCACAGCATGCTGCCTTTACCGCCATATTGCATACAATGTACTTGACTTACACACACACACACACACACACAGAATTTATCAGCATGGCATCAGTGAAGGAGAACCGTCTGTCTCCAGAAGCATCCTCCCAGTTCTTGATCGTGTAAAACTTGTTTTACAACAGATAGTAACATGAGCGCATCCAGTCCATGGCAGATTTGAGCTTTACTGCCTCCTGGGTTGTTATGGAACATTTTAATTTGTTTTCTTCCCCAGCAGGACATTTAGAGTCTTCTCCCAGACTTTTTATTTGTGAAGTTGCACCCAGTTGCAGTCGTTTAAGCTGGTCTTGGAATATGGAGGTGTTTAGAAATGGCTCAAAAAGCGCTCAGTTTTCACTGAGCGTTTACTGTGCAAACCGATTTTTATTCAAAGAGGAGAGAAGTTTGCATTTCCCAAGATCGTTCAATTTAAAAGATAACCTGGAACCTTTAGCATCTCTTTAAATCTTAAGTGATTTTGACTCATTAGGGGTTAGCAAAACCCAACGACAAATTAAAAATGGGTCATACAATTTTTGTTCTAAAAAAAAAAAAAGTGATGTTAAGGCAAAGCGGGGTTCAAATAATCTATAAAGGCCTTAAGAGAACACTGTACTGCCACTCTTTAATCTTCTGACTTCTAGGTTACATGGCGTTTTCAGAAGTCGTTTGTGTTGCACAACTTTGGCCCAGTAATGAAATATTCAGAGACAGTTTAGAACGAAAGTCCTCCTGGTTGTCCAGGTGACTGTATTTAAACTGATGCAGGATGAGTTGGTCTCAACCTTTTGCAAGCCGCTGATACGAATGCTCAGTTGGTGCGCTTTGTTAGAATGATGTGTTTGGCCTGAGATAACCCTACAGGAGAATGTTGACTTCCTTGTCATATATTATTTCTGTGCATGTGCAGCCTCTAAAAACGTCCGGCTAGATGGTGGGCTACAGAGTTCTTGCCACCTTTGAAAACCAAAGGGACGTTTTTCATCATCCCTTTGCAGCTAAATAAACTGTCTTTGGATCTGCTGATGTTACCTAACCATTTGAAAAAAGGCAACTTGTACTGTAATTTTTTTATGACTATCTACAGTAGGAAAAATTTCATTTTTAGCATTTTATTTTTGTTTTTAGGTTTTAAGATAAAGAAAACTGTAAAAACTTTGCAAAAGAAGGAAATATTCTTCTGTGGGATATGGTTGAAATTATGTAAAAGGAAAAAAAGAAAGTCCACCAGATGATGAGAAAAATAAATGTAAAATTCAAAACAATTGTAACGTAAAGAACTGCTAAAACTTGCATTTACATTTGTTGGTTCTTACCTGCTTAGATTCAAAGTTATTTTTACCCTACTTTATCTATTTATTTATTTTACAAATTACAAATATCTTTAAAAAACTGTCTCTTATTTCAATCATTCCTTTTGTGACTTGACCTGAATTTAAAGTGGAAATAAATGGCTGTAAAACAGGCTTGTGAATAAAATGATGGTTGGCCTGACATCACTCTGAACTAGGGGAACCCAAGGAGAGCTTTAGTGGAAAACAAAACCAGATTTTCTGAAAACTGAACTTTCAAAACAGAAAATTTGATTAACTGATGAAATTGATTGATCATCCACCTGTAGTTGCAACCAAACATACAATATTTACTGTCATAATTTGTTTGAAAATATACAAAAATAATTTTTTGTGCGTTATATAGCTGTTGTTGAATGATTGTAGCTGTGATTGCATTTAAAATGATTCCACTTTGTTTTATTTTTGAGCCGGTTAAGAAACTTACTGAACTTTCTGACATAATGATGTTATCATGACATCTTCAGACTTGGTGCAACTATATCTCACTCTGAACTAAATCAGGGTTTCTCCTGTGCAGAGGTTGACTGACCTTTTACTTTTACTACTTTGACTAGATTCAGAGTCACTTCTTTTTTTTTTTTCCTTGCAGAACTCTGAATGCCTCCAGTTCAAACCTGCTGTTAACAGCTAAACTGTGAGAGTATATGTCATTCATTAGCAGTTTGTGCCTGCCTTGACTTGCAGTCAACACTGCACTTCCTGACCAGAGAACTGCCATGGCCAACTGTTTATAGGTGCAGACCCCTAACTGAAACCATGTGTGCCTGTAGCTGGGCAAACGTGTTGCCAGGAGACCTCGCTGATTTGCCACTCTGCAGAGACCCAGCAGTAGCTGCTCACAGCGTTCGTGGTAAGTGCCAAGTCAGGATTTTTGTGCAGCACGAGGGGCTAATTGCCCTGTTTGGATGTCGGGAGGTATCTGCAGAAGGCCTGAATGAACACGTAAAAGAAATGTGCGGATCAGTAAAATAGGAGCGTCCTGCGTTTGCGCGGTGCTTGTTGACGCGGGTATGAATGCTTGTGTGCAGTAAACAAGTGCTGAACTAGGACTTGTTCTTGAGTGCAAACCAAGTTTGTGGCTTTCTGTTGCGCCAACACTCAGGAAAATAGGTTTTGTTAGAGGGAAGAGACGTTTATCACTTCTAGTTTGCACAAATCTCCATGAAAACAAATGAATGGCAAATTTGCAGTTTCATCTATTTCTCTATTCGCCTCTTTTAAACAGGGAGGACGGTTATGTCCTTGGACTGAGTAGAAACATGGAGTGGAGGAAGAACTCGTTCCGATCCACAATGTCAGTTTAACCTTGGGAAATGATTTCTCTGTTCCCGACTCATTTCAGTTTCTTTTTAAGGCTGCAGATACTGGTTTAGTGTATTTCCAGCTAAGGCCCGTCACCTGACCCCTCAGACTGCTCCATGCTCGCGCTCTCTGTCAGATAAGTAAGTACACAGGTTGCATTTCCCACTGAGTGTCTCTTTTGGTAGAGTTGTGGAGCTAGCTCCTAGTCCAGTAGGCAGAAGGAAGGATCCATCATGTTCATTCCAGCAGATTCAGGAAGAGGGCCCGGGTGTTGGGAACCCTCCCCCCTCCTGACTGTGTGGCTGTCAGGAACAGAGGCTCCTGCTGGAGCCCCCTCCCCCTGTCCACTTCTTCTCTTTAAAAGGAGGCTTCCATTACATGCTGCTCATGCTTCTGGTTGGTCCTAGGGTGAAAACGCATTGGCTGGTGCAGACACTGTAGGACTCTGTGATGTGTATGATGTATGTGCAGTGTTCATTTCACAGTTAATGTAGGGCCAAATAAATCTAAGCGTTATGGAAACTTTTCAGAAAGACAAATCTTTAAGAACGTACACCCTCTGGCCACTTAAAGCTGCTCTATGAAAGTTTTATATATATATATATAGATATAGATATAGATATACACAAAAAATGTTTTTTACACATTTGTTAAAATGATCACCATGTCGTGGCAGTATGAGACAGATCATCTGTGAAAAGATCAATCTCCTCCGTCTTCTCCCTGAGATACCATTACTATCTGAAGAAATGCATCACTCCCAGTCGGAAACGAGCGATCAGAGCCAGGAGGAGGGTCTTAGTGCTGTCAAACATCCTCATGCACTCACTGCTCAATGTGCTAATGGTGGAGAAACAACTTACAGGAAAAACGTTTATCCACTGTCATTGGTGGTTATGCTAACTAGCCTGAGCATTCAAAACAGTATCTGCTAGCTGCAGCATAGCAGAGAGCAAGAGTTAAGGGAAGGGCGAGCAATGCCACACGGTGGATGAATGACAGCCCAAAGACCTGCCTCCTGGCTCTGATTGGTTGTTCCTAGATGGTACCAGGAAAAGGCAGAGGAGCGGGATTTTTTTATTTTTTTATTTTTTTTAGTTTATCTGTCTCACCATCCTGTCACTATGGAACTTTTATAAGTATTTTATTTGTTTATATTTTTACATATTTCTTTAAGTATGCATAACTGTTGTAAAAGATTATTCTAGTAATTGAGTAATCTATTGATTATTCTGATGACTAATTGAGTAATTGAATAAAAAAATATGGATAAAATAAAATATTGGTAAACTCTGACATAACAGTATTAACATTGGATATCAATATCGGCTCAAACTTTCATGTCTGTACATCCCAAGCAATTATTTTTCCGTATC